TGAGGGGACGGGCAGAAAAAAGGCAAAGCTCTTCTGTATTTCCCGTTCCCGCTTCCCTACCTAATGTGTTTATCAGTAAACGCGAGTATCCCAAATGTAGAGGTCCACTCAACCCGTAAATAAAACCGACTGGTTCTTTCTTGCCGGATCTCTAACGTAGAGATGCTAATGCCAGACGTCACTTGAACTGGGAATTTAGACAAGACTGAATGCAAGGCTGGCAATACGACATATGACTGATTTATCTCAAATGATGTTCTCTTGCAGGCGACAGTATTTCGCTGGACATTGACAGCGTTGGTTTGAAAGGCGGGGTGACGGGCTGGGGAAGAAACTATGTACACCCTTCCCTCTCCGGACCATCGGCGACGATTATATTTCCATGACAACTCCCATCCGGGGTAATTTTGCCGATTTTGTGCGCGCCTTTTAAGAGCCCTAGTAATCAAGTCAAGCTCTGTCGTTCTCTGCTCACCTGACTTTAAAATTACACCCCTTGAGAGAGGTCATATTACGTTGTTTTATGTGCAATGTTTCTCCGTTAGATACACCTTTCGCAGTATACATCTCGCTTTTTTATCAAAAAAAAGCAGGCCTCGCCTAAGACAGAAGGAGAAATCTACCACAAAATAGCAACTTGAAAAAGAAAGGATTAAGTGTATTCCTACATAGATTAAATTAGCTGGTCAATTTTCCGTGATCACAGTATGATGAGAGCCAGATTGCTTTTTTTTTCGACTAAATAGAATTTCAGTGTCTTTGTCGAACTTCAGTTTTGTTGCAGTACTAGTGTTAAACGTAGCTGTTTTAGAAGCAGTCATTTGCTTTAGAGTAGGCGATTACTGTCCGGGTGGTAAATTGTATCAGAATAGACTGCAATACACCGGTTTTACTTTATCATTGAAGTTTGCATGGGCGCTCCATATTTCTTATGCTCGCGCAAGTATGGACAACAGAAATTGAAATAAGAAGCGTGCTACTGTTTTGCGGTTTAACTTCAGGAATGAAATTTGGTTGTTTGCTGGCCTTGTTAGGAACTACCTACCTTATATTTAGGTGAGCAACATTGCTTCGCAATGGTATGATACCTCTTTACATCGTTACTATTAATCCACAGTTCTCCCAAATCTCACCTAAGTGGCAATCAAATGGGTATGCATTAAAGGTGCAAACGCAGAAGACTCGAAACCAGTCCACTCGTGTCAACTGCTCGATAAAACCTGGAGGGTCAGAAACACGGAGAGTCCTGGGAACGGCAAAGCGATCATTAACTCGTTCTTTTCAGGTCCCGCATATAGATAAATAACTATTCAGCGGATAAGTATTGGGGAAACCAAGCGTTTTTTTTAATACTATCCACTGGGTAGAGATTTATCCATTGGAGAGAACCATTCACCTTTAATTTTGAACAACTGAGGGCAGATGCAACTATTGCAGAGCAATAAACCAAATGTAGTTCAAAACTTCCACACAGAGCGACTCAGTCTTGTTTCATAACCCCCATCTCTGTTTCCTGCGATATTTAATCATCATTTGTTGTCACGTGATAACACTGAACGTTCACTGCTGATGAAGACCTGACTGTGCGATACAGTCGAAACCTTCAAGACTAAGATCTGAGACTTTGATACTAGAATTTATTTTTTCAATTGTTTTTCTATCAAGTGAAGTGTTAGTTATATATGTAAGGCTTTGGCCAATCGGGTCAGGAGCTGATTTCACCCCTGATCTGGTCAGGGTTAACGACTCCTGATCTAGTACAGTAGTATGAAGAGAAGTTTGATTCTTTAAATTTATATAAAATCGCCCAATTTCACAGCAGAGTCTATTACGAAAAATATTCTGAAAAGACGGAAAAAAACTATAGTTTTTAGAATGTTTTGAAGTATGTTTTTCTGTTTATTTATGATGAAAGTTACAGAAAAACAGTGTTTAATATACGAATAATCCAGTCATGTCTTAGTCGTGTTTTCACCATACTCTGGTGTAGAATACGAGAAAAAAATAGAAATTTTAACAAGTTCTATAACTTCCTGGTTTCAAGGCACGTTCTTGGTGTAATGTTTAGCATTTGAGGTTGTCCTGCAACGCAATAACGCAGGTCATCTCAGACTAGAAAGTTGCATCCCTGGACGCACCTCTTGGTTGGGTCAATTCAATATGGTGTGTCCTAAGCTTTTCTCGTATGCAGATCTCACTAATGTCACTGGTTCCTAGTTTGACGTGGGAGATCTGGGTACAAGATGAGGTAAGGGAATCTGCCTTGACTTTTCAGCTATCTTGAGCCCTCCAAGTTGCTAATACACCACAGTCGCTCTAAGTATTGTTTGTTTCTGGTAGGCACATAAAAGATTTCATTGAAAGTTACAAACAATTTGACAGACGAAATTTGATCAGAGATGGCTAAACACAGAATAAAACGCTATCCAGTCCACTTGAGAGTACTGTTGCGTGACGAGGCGACGAAACTTAAAACGGCTGCAAGAGAGACTAACCTAGTGGAAAATGTTTCTTTATAGAGCGGCCGAAACATGCAAGTTCGCGAACCCTGCGGGTTGTGAACAAGGCCCAGTTAATAAGTAGCGCGTCGTAGAATATCATCGTTTTCCACAAGGCGACGCAACGCGCGACGCTTGTAGCCGCCGTGACTACTTCGTTGTCAGGGGCCCAACGACTGATAGCGGAGCTCCACGCGCGAGCGCAGCCCCATGCCTAAGAAAATGTGTTAATCTAGCCATCCAAGAAATTCTGGTAATTATGTGACCGTACGCCCGACCGACCGTCCAACCGCACCACTGGCATACCAACGAAAAATAACTTAATCAACAGGTATGGTAACCCAAATGCAACTCGAGGTTATTTTGGCGGGAAATCGCATAGCCAGCCGCGTCTTGTGAAGCAGAGGCAACTAAAGAGTCAATTAAGAAGAAAACGGAAAGCGAAAATTGTTTCTGTATCCATTTTGTCTAAAGTATTAAGCGTAGCTTAATTGTCATGTCCACTAATTTGGAATATAGAGAAAGAGAAATAAAGAGAAAAAGAGAAAGTAGGCGACAGCCCAGCGAAGCTCAACGAGAAAAAGGGCGACAGAGACCTAGAGCGAGAGATAAAAAACAAAGGAGACATTTTTTGTTGGAAGAGCAACATGAAAATTTTGTAGCGGCAGTGAGAAAATGAGAAGTGCTAGCGGCCACCAAGGTGAAAATGAGCGGCAGTGAAAAAAAGAAAAAGTGAACAAGAATACGTACGTACTACATTTCCTCCATAAAACAGGTAACCAGCGGTAACCAGGAAGTTTCTGGAAGTTTTACGTTGTAGTCGTGCAAAACAACGGCAAGAAATGTACAAAAAAGTGCGCTGCACGTGCAAAGTTGCTATTTTTCGCTAATTAGACCTATTGTTGTTTTTTCACCGTCCTCTTTGCCTTCGCCGCTCAGCATTACACGAGTTTATATTTTGTTTGAGCACTGAACTATAAATATTATCGAGAGCTTCGCTTTTAGCCATGGCTAAATCTATATATTAAAGAAGTCATAAAGAGATCTTCAACAGAAAGAAGCAAGGCAGATTTTATAGTTGGAAATAACGTATGTTTTTTGAGCCGACAATATTTCGATAGGCACGGCCTTTCTTCTTCTTGAGGGTTACAGATGACTAGGTTAACTAGCTAAGTCTTAACGATTTAAAATCAGGATAGCGTGCAATATGATACTAAAACAACATGACTAAATAAAAAAAGAGACAGCGAATGTTACAAGTATATGAAAACAAAACCGAAATTGAGACTGGTCGCAAATTTATCAAGGTAGATATTCAATGACTAGTACAGCGAAATAAGACAAGTTTTTTCTCTTAACTCTAAGCCAAGGTATCTGAGAGCGTTTAATGATACGTGTACCATTTTTAGATGGTGCTGAGCCGGATTAGAGAGAGCCCGATATATACAGGAACAGGTCATACTTGGGCGTAGATGTAAAAAGGGTTTCACGAAGAAGCTTGCTGGGTTGTCTGCAAGCAGCAGAGTTCCTAGCAGGCTTACACTGAATCAATTATCGCCGGACATCTCAGTCATGTCGTTACGTTACAAACGTATTTTTAAAAAAAGTTGCAAGAGAAAATGAGTAAAGTCAATGCAATAGGTCGTGCTTACCTCATTTTGTTGATGTGACCAATGTACGCCTGACCAAAGAACGGCTTGCAATGTCCGCAAGAACGTATACATGTTTAAAAAGTTGAAAACTTGATCATCTGAATTTTACGAAGATCGACGAAGATCAGCTAGCCGCTTGCCTGTCTGCGTGCACGTGAAGCGTCCTCTGGTTCCCTGATTTCCCGCCAATTTGCCTAGGCCGAGCGAAGACTGGCGATAATGCCCAGAACTCCCTGCGGTTTGGGTAAAACAACATGGCGGCCACCACGAGAGGAGAGGCGATGTCCGCAATCACAGTGAGTAATCTTGAAAATTTTGCGAAATCTGCTTGTATGTAAGTAAAGTCAGTTCTTCTGGACATCTTTTTATACCTTGATCCTCAACAGTCACCTGCGTTTTCAGTTCGTGGGATGAAAGTCATTCAAATTCGTCCATGCATCAAAATTTTTCCTTCATGTACTTGATCTGATTTCCATCTACACGTAACATTTTACTTCGTTAATTGGGAGTTGAGTTAAATCCATATATTAACCTTTTCACTTCACAGCCATGGATAATTTTAGCTTATAATCTCGTGGATCTAGTATTGCCAAACTCTTGCATAATGCGAGGGCCTGAAAATATCGTTAGATGTACCTGGTGGCAGAAATGTCCGATCTCCGGATCTCCAGAGAAGAAGCCAGTTTTCACAAACGTCACACCCGTTTCTCCTGTCTTGGACACTTATGAACTATTATGTTAATTTTCTTTTATATAATAATAGGTCATCCCAGGATGTGAGAAACTGACGGGATACTGGGCTCCAGGCCATGGAATAGTTGTTCACACATCAAATGGCAAACCAAGTAAGATGCTGAAAAGTGTCGAACTATCATGTTATTCTAATGTCCATTTAAAAAGTTGGAAGGTGTCGTCTCATTGGTAAAACCCCAAAAGTAATGAACTACACTAACCCTTTAGACTGTATAGGCGGCTCTCTCTTAAGAGAAACTTCTATAAGATGGACACCTCAGTTAAACGGACACCTACAGTGTAGTGTTGGTGCCTACCTTTCTTTACTCCCTTTATTTGACTCTCTTTAAGATGGCCATTAGGCCTAGGTTTGAACCTATATCCTACCAACATGCTGTGCATGCTCAACAAAGATCTTACTCGATTCATGCATAATCTTACTCATTGGTACCCCAAAATGGAGCAAGTGAAAGGAAGGATCTGCTAGCAGGGTGTTTGCATCTATACGTAAGTCACACAACAGTAAGTTGTAGATACTGCCATTCATATCAAACATTTTTATTCTTTTCTTTCTGGTAGCAAGTGCTCAGAGTTCAACGCATTACAGATATCCTGTTCTACATGAGGTTCGATGGGGTGCAGATCTTCAGAGCATTATAACTCGCAAGCTGATTAATGAGACTCATGGTAATAATATTTTTATTTTAAGTTGTTGTTATTTGGACATCACCCAAAAAGAGTTTTCGAGTTTGCTTGTTTTAATTCAAAGATGCAATAGGCCTCAGTCTCCTGTGATCCCCGACTTTCCCAAGATTCATGTACCCAGACTTGGATATGTAGTACCAAGGCTGTGCTCCAAGGAAAATTGAAGGGTGCCCAGTGCTCTGAACCTGTAAAATCTAGGGTGCCCAGCATATGATTTGTATGAAAAATTTGAGATTTTCTAGTCGCCCAAGAGCAAAAGTTGGGTGCCAGGGTCCACCGGGCTCTGCTAGAGCACAGTCCTGGGCTCTACAAGCTGAATTCAGAAATGTTTGTGTTAAATGATGTTTCATCATCATCAGATCTCACCGTGCTAACACTTTCTGTCCAGCTAGTGTTGTATCATTATCAACACTTTTGGTTTCTGTAATAATAATTATTACAGAAACCAAAGCACAGGATCATTAGCCCTATTCCCAATCCCCAACCTGGAGGACCAGGGGGTCACTCTTTGTCAAGTCTCTACTCGACCTTTTCAGCATGGGTGGCCCTACCAGGAGTACAAGACTCCAGCTGACATAGAGGTCATTGAGACATGCAAACAGCCCCACCACAATAAAGTAGTTCTGGGGCAAAACGTGATGTATATTTATCTGATACATCGTATATTGTAGCTATCTTTATGGATCTTCAGCAAATTCCTGACTCTGGTGGAACAGGAAGAAAGGCGAGGTAAGTTTAAAAAGTGGCCTGACCTAAAGGGCGGGTTTATTGACACTCTGAATTGGTATTTCTGATGAAATAGAAGTAGAGATGATTGCTATTAATGAAAAGGTGATCTTAAAGATATTTGTTACATTATATGCATTATTTAGAGTATAGCAAGTTCACTGAGACAAGTTCATTTTCCTGTCAATATTACATTAACAAATGAAAAATGACAACTGCTTGTTATGCATCCTTGTTGCAGTTTTTGCTGTTATACATGTAAAAGTAGAGGGGGACAAGGGGGGGGAAGTCTCATCATGAGTTCACAAACAACAATTTTGCACTTCACGAGTCACAAAACAAATTTTACGTTTTCACGCTTCTCAAAAATCGAGTTCGTACAAAATGTCTAAAACGTTATGTTAGTCCCATTTTGTAAAACATGGTGCTTCCATAGATTACCTATTCGACATTCGGATCCACAAATTGTGGGGTCAGTGACTTTGTTTGCTTAGTTACTTGCCTATTCTACTGAAAATTTAATACAAAATTATTGAAATCTTAATTTTTTAGTTGCTTAGATTTTGGATTGTAGTAAAGCTCTTAAAGCTTTTATAATCAACTTTTATGTGGGTTTAAGTTTTCCGTAAACCCTTTTGTGTTGATTTCTTATCCATTCCATCGTTTCATTCCCAAAAAAGTTAATAGAAATATGAAATAAGAATGTTTTTAGCTGGTTTGAAGAATGCTGAATGATTCTCTTAATTACTTTTAAATGAGTTTATGTATGGAATCAAAGTAATTACCACCGATTTTGTGGCCAACAGAAAGATATTTGCTGGAAATAGAACTGAAGAAACCACATATTCTATAGATGTAACTGTCACCAATGTCTTTATACAAGCAGAAGAAACAACAGGATCACGTGCCATAGGTTCAATAGCAATCATATATTACAGGCTGTTTTCCATCTGTGTTACACTTCAAAAGCATTACTACAACTAACTGACAGTGAATGAAGCAAAGGCTTCTCTTGATTTTGAGTGATAGCAAGCATGTTATTGCTGTGAATGAAACACCCTGCCAAAATCAATTTCTTGTCGCAGCAAGCCTTGTCTTTGCCATCTCTTTCCATGCAGTGCCAAGAAATGCCTTAAGGTTGCTCTTGTTCACAGGGTTGGAGACGAAGTTTTGCCACTTCTTGGGAACTGGAGTAGACGGGCCCGATATTCGCATCTCAAAGCTTGATGATGATCCCGTTTGAGCATGATGTGCTTCCTTGATCAAGTCTTCATTCTCATTGTGATCAAAAACTACATCCACACAATTACGGCCATTATTACCGAGATGCGCGGTTATCACCTGGAAGTATTTGTTAGCGAGCTCTCCAAATGTGGCCGAGCCTGTGTTCTTCATCATTATTTTGTACCACTGCCATGCCATCTATGACATACGCAGTTGACATTCTGACATCTACTGGTAGTCTGGGTAGCCCTTGTACTTGTTCCTAGAGTATCCCCAGGAACACACTTTTAGTAGTTTTCCTTAACGATCCATCAGGATGAGCCAGTGCGCAAGGGACAGGGTCCAGCTCGTACTTTAACACTTCTCTTAAGTTGATTTCCCTTGATCGTGAAGCTATCAAAAGCGGCCCGAACAAGTTCCTGTCCACGCTTGCTGTTACAAGCTTCTCATCCACGGACTTAACCTTTGCTTTCTTTGACAAACTTGCAAAGGTTTTTTTGTTTATCTTTTCCATCAGTTCCCAAAACCAAACTTCATTGGTACTGATACGCTTGCTCACAATAATAATAACTTTATCCTCGCTGCTCCTAGACATTGGGCATCAATAAGTTGCTCTGATATCTCCTCTGGCATAACTACTCCTGTAGCAAGGCTCATTAGTGGAAAATCCTCTCTGTATGCATCTTCATAGAACAGACCAGACATCACTGTCTTCAGGGTATGTACATGTATGACCTTTTTGATGTCATTTTCGTCTCTTTGAACTCTGACTTTTCATGATTCCCTGTGTGTACTTCTGGTAGATTCATCCAAATCCATCATTCTTTTGGTAGCAGTCGTGGTTGCTGTTCTCTCGTGTGCTGTCAAAAACCATTTCTGGAGAGCGCTTGGCCTTTGCATAATACCGATTATGCCACCTTTAGTTACTATCAAGGTTAATGCTCCGTGCGAGTGCCATGTCCGCCAAGACTTGGTTAAATGACTGTGACGTTGACCTGCTGACAGTGTGGTTCCCTCTAAGGAACTTGTTATAGACATTTAGAGCTTTTTCTTGCAGATCAACCGCACATATCCATAATATATACTGGCAGCCATCGGGAGTAATTCTAGTGATCCATTGCAAAAAACAAGGAATCATCTTTGTTGTAACGTTTAGATGTAGCTCCCAGTCACCCTCTTGTTCTGCTCAAATGAACTCTAGAAGAAGGAGAATCATCTTGATGTACTTGTCCCTAAACTTGAAAATTTCAATGATGTTTCTTGCTTAAACCGCATCAACACGGATGGCGGTGTTACAAAGGAGCAAATAGGCCTCTTTCTTCTCTTCAGATGTTGTTGCTGTTCTGTAGTGCACTATGACAGAGTAAACGAGATTTAGAATTGAAACTCCTTCACTTTCGACTCCTCCACCTCCTCCTTTACTAACCCAGGATCAAAATGCATCCCATTTCAAATGCAGTAGCTTCTCTATAATCAATTTGTGTCCTCTAATTCCCGTTGTACGATTTTCCCTGCAATAGTGCCATAGTAGAGCTTGTTCCGTAGCGGCCAGACTCTATAGACACATCTTCTAAGCCACTCTCCTGCAACATCTTTCCAATCAAGGCCAAATAATTGAGTGTAATGTAAAACCCCCCTAACCAAATCACCAGGTTTTGGAACTCTTCTGGATAATGGCAGTGGATTTCTTCTTCCTTGGAGTAAATTGCCAGATTACTGCAGTGCTCCACTGGATATGTTTGGATATTTCTTGCATGATTTTAAGTACTGTATAGATGATGCTGTAACCTGTAGGCAATTCAGAAATCATCAGGCTGTACCCAATGACAGTACAAGACGACGTGATGGAAGATACATGCATTTCAGCATTGAATGCACTCCATCCAGATACTGATTGCTCTCCACAGGTATCATCAGCCTTCAATACATTTTTCCTATTGAGCCTGAGCAGAAACCTTGCCAGTTCTCTCACATTCTGAGTTGTTGTGGGATCTTTTCTTAAGTCAAAGTTCTCTTCTGCCCCTCCTATGAATGAGGCCAAGGCAGGACCCTTACCATGCACACTGCACATGTGCATGGGTTGACCGTGAACTGACTTCTCTAAGATCTTCTTCTAGAGGTGTGGTCGCTATGGATATTCGGTGGGAGTTTAGGTCCAAACGGCTGATGCTGATACACCACTAGCATTGTGGCGTGTGGGGTTTGTTTGCCATCTAGAGTTTCCTCGTTGAAGTCATTATTGCCAGCAACAAATTGTACCAATGGGCCAGGGGTGATGTTTGATGGAATGACTGCTCTATTTTGAGCAGTGCCTCATTCTGTTTTACAAAGTCACGATAACCTTAGACCCAGTTAAATTATTTATGGTGACTGCCAAACCGATGTGTTTTGGTGTTTTCACCTGACTGTTGTTTGCGGCATGAATTATACTCTGACCTAGCATAACTATGCGTCTTCCTTTCTCAGCAATGAGAGTAGATCCGTCCATCTTGCCTAAAGATAACCTCTGAAAGAAAACTGTAAAGGCTTTCTGGTATTGGACACCTACCCTTCTCTGTGGACACATCCTCTACACACAATGGCTTGATTGAAATACCATTGTGCTGTTTGATGCCATTGTTTATTATCTGGACTGCTTGGTACAAAATGGTAGCTTTATCTTGTTTGATATCCTGTCTTGTGTCCTCATCGATTTCAAAATCTTTGCTTGACTGCTGGGAGACTGATGTTTTCACAATGTTTTCCACTGACAAATGACTGGAATAAATTATTTCAGGTTTTGAAGGGTCGTTTTGCTTCTGGATGACTATTTGGTCTAAGAAAGCAATCGCTGGTCATCACGAGCAATGGCAGCATCGACAATCTCTTGTATATCTAAAAGAAGGTAACTGCTTGTTTTAGGATTGCATTACAATAATTGATTATAAATTGATTATAAATTGTAAATTGAAAATGAAATAAATTATAAATTATTTATAATCAAATTACATGCATTAAAGATTGATGGTTCAGTGTATATTGAATTGGTTGTAAAAACAAGGTCTAATTATAGAAAAATTTTCTCCATTTCATTTGCTCATTTTTCTTAATCAACTATGAAAAATCTTTTAATGTACACCTAGCACAACGACATTAAAAAAAGGTGTCTAACAGGATTAAAAGTGGCGAAGTGGAAATGTTTCTTTCCTTTTGAAAATTAAATCATTCCAGCAGTTAAAATGGTGGATGCTTCTTGTAAAGCAATTTGGGATTTGCATCAAAGGCATCATGGGAATGAAAAACGAAATATGAAAATGTTCAAATTGATGCTTCAAAATACCCCTGACCCCCCTCAGAAATTGCAGTGTACCATGTCACTGACCCCACAATTTGTAAATCCAAATGCCAAGTAAGTAATCTATGGGTATTTGGCTATCTGAATCTGTTGTCAAACCTCTTGTGTGGTGGGGGTGCTGCGTAACCCATTTTTTGGGCCTCCTTTAGAAACTAGCCATCCACGCAGATGTTTTTAGAGGTTTGTCATGCATTCCTGCCCCACTAACTCCTAAGAATAACTGCGTGGGAGGCTACTCCTTGACTTTTTCGTCGCATTGATCTGACTAAACAAATTTTTAACCTTGAAACTTTTGCAGACTCTTGTAAAGATGTTATGTCTAAAATAATAATTACAATCCTCTGCTAATGTTGTTATTATGTCAACAATCACCCTCCCCTAAACTGCAGGTAAAAATTTCAACCTCCTCCGCTAGGTAAAGTGGCTTAATCCCTGCCCTTTCCTGCTAAATGACCTGTCCCCAATGCATTTGAAGTCCCAGGTCATATAAAGGTGTTTTACACATAAAATATTTAGTCTCTCTTCTTAATAGTTATTCACTGACTTTGTTTTGTGTTAGTTTATTCTATTTATTGTATGTTGTAGTGTCTGTATTGTTGTTTAGTCCATCTACTAGAACCTTGTAATGTAAATATGTCTTTCCTCCCTCGGCCTTGATTAGTTACTATGGGTTATTAGCTTACTTAAGTACTCTTGTGTAAATGCCTTATATAGTGTGAAATAAAGAAAGATTAAAAAAGAAAGATTAAGATTATTTATACAGGTTGAATTTCAAAAAAAATTGTTGTTAAACTGCCTTTTGGCCCTTTCCTGACTGGGATTCTTAACGCGGGACATTTCGTTTATCATATTTAAAGTACATATTGTTATGGCCGCTGGCCGTCAGATGCAGTGATTATAAACATTCGATTTGCGTCGAAAGTCAAAAGAAATGAAGAAAAAGATGTCATCCGTTTTCGAATCATCAGAGGAAAAAACGAATGGCACAAAACTGGCACGGTTAGTGATTGATGGAGGAACACACGCGTTAAGGACGTTTTTAAACACTTTTCATCCCCCGGGCGTGTTACAAGCAGCATTGGCGAGCAACTTTGGAAAACTTCACGTTCTTAAATCGAAACGAGGGATCTTTGATAGCCAGTGGGAGTCGCTGTTTCCTTCTTCAGGTGATCCACCAGATTCTGAGACATTCGATATCACCCTTTTGCATTTGCTGCTTCGGGAAATTTGTTATTTGGCGCCGCCTTCTACAGGATGGAACAATCTGCCACTAGATTCTGATGTCAGTCCCGAAGCACACATTGTCCGAATAAAATGCTTTAGAAATGAGCTCTGTCACAGTATTTCTACTGGTGTTACAAATGTTGAGTTTGAAGATAAGTGGAACAAGATTTCAGAGTCGCTAGTCGCGCTAGGACTCGATCAAAAGGAGATAGACCTCCTGAAGACTAAACCAATTGATCACGATACTGAAAGCCGTGTAAAGGCGGAAGTGGAAAGGTGGACTCGGGATTTTGAGACACAAATACAGATCTTGGAGCAAGAGGTCAAGCAGATGAAAGATGAAATCTCAAGGATTCATGATTCAATTTCAGAAAAAGGCGCAAATGAGCTCGCAAATTGTCTTCCAGATGAAATTCCAGATGTCTTTGGTCGTTCAGAGGAGATAAGACAAGTCACAGAAGCTATCCAATTTCAACGAGTAGACACTGTTGTGATAACAGGGGGGCCAGGGTTTGTCGCTCATGAACTGGTAGCTAATCATCATTGCAAAAACACAGTTTTGTATTGCCCGATCAGATCAAAAACGACAGTTGATGATGTTGCAACCTCAATGATTCTTACCTGTAATAAAAATCACTCTCATCCCCCACAGAATCCTCACCATTGGTTGCTTAACTGGAGCAAGCAACAAATGAACCATGTTACTTTTATTTTAGACAATGCTGATGACATTCTTAATTCAGATGACCGATTGCACTTCATAAATCTTTTACGTGATATGAGAATCTTATCGGGACAGAATGTTGATTTTCTTGTCACATCTCGAAGAGTATTCAAAGATTCAAGCTTGAAGATGATAGAAGTCAGATTAAAAGCCTTAGCACTTGAAGAGTCTCGAAGAGTTCTTACTGCACAAGTCTCTGATGACTGTATTAAAAAACAACTGTCGAAAACAGACATCCTAATTGAACTGTGTGGTTGTGTGCCTCTTGCTATCTGTATTGTTGGCTCTTTGCTTTCAGACTACACAGAAGATGAACTGATTAACAGTCTTAAGGAAAGTCCATTGGATGTGCTTCGAGAAGATGAAAGTGATGATAATTCTGTTAAAAAGGCTATTAAAACCTCCCATGATGTTTTGAGCGACATTGAGCAACAAGTCCTGGTTGTTATGTCAGCCTTTCTTGGTTCTTTCAGTTCTGAAGCTGCCAAGACTGTAATTAGTAAGTGCATGAGCTGTATTTCTCAGCCGATGTCAATTCTTCGTTCTTTGAAAAATCGGTCACTCATTGAACAACCAGCTTCACAGAGATATCAGATCCATCCACTTATACAGGCATTTCTGAAAACTATCGATCAAGAAGTTGGTACCCAGCTTGTCATATCGGGACAAAGAGAGGCTTGTGCTTACTTTATTTCTCAGCTTGCTGACAATGCCGACCTATACTGGACCAACGACATGTGCAAAGAGTCCATTCAGCGTTTTAATAAGGACAGACATAACTTTGAATATTTCCTCAAAGCCTGTATCAGTGGATTGAAGAATGAAGATCCTGATGTCTTAGCAGTCATGGAAACCTTAGTGGAGAGGATTTCCCAAATATCTTCAATATACTTGTATTTAGAGATGTGCCTTCTTCCTAGTGTTTATGTGGAGTTCCTTAAACTTTCTTGTGATTTGCTGACATCTGGCCATCACCCTTCCACTAGAAGAGTGGAGCTTCTTTGCCTTGTTGGGCATGAAAGCAGAAGAGCAGGAGATCTCAACAAGTACAAAGAGTTCCAGGAAAAGGCCAGAGAAGCACACTTGCAGAACCCTGCAGAATTTGAGGGTGAGAAGGTGTCAGAAGCTTTCTTTCACAACAACAATGCACGCTTCCTTGCTGAGGAAGGAAAACTAGATGAAGCAAAAGAACAATTTGACTTGTGTCTTAACATATGTGAGGAAAATTTGTCTTTGGATTACATGTATGTACAGAAAGCAATAACTTTGCTTTTTGCTGGTTATGAAGACAATCGTCGCAATGAACGCTGTAAAGCAGAACAAAAACTAAATGAAGCATTGGACCTTTATCAAAGGGTCCTTGGGAAACATGTTATGACTGCTTGGGCTGAAAGAAAGCTTGCAGATTTTCACCTCTTTCATGGTGATGGTAGTTTGGGAACTGTAGAAGACCAGCAAAAATGTATTGAGCTTTATGGGGATGCATTAACAATTATGGAGAGTCTTGGAATGGCAGGCCACAAAGAGTGCATCCTGAGTCTGACAAACTTAGGCATATGTCACCAACTACAAGGCAATCAAGAACAAGCAATGAAATTATATCAAGGAGCTTTGAACATTGCAGAAAGGGAATTAGGAGAGAATCACAAGTGGAAAGTATATCTTAAAACACAAATGGCTTACTGGAATAAAGAAAAAGGAAATTTGGATGAGGCCAAAGCATTAAAAGAAGAAGCAGTACATATGAGTGATACTTTGGGGCTCCCGGTCAATCAACCACGCAACAAGTTTTTGTTGCAGAAAATTTGATGCTGGGATGAATGAGCAAATACAAGACTATGAAACTTTTACAAAGGAACAGTCACTATTTTTAATGCCAGTTTGAACTAAACACTTGCTTAACCCTTTAAATCCTAAGAGTGATCAGCATCAAATTTCTCCTTGTGATAGCAATGCTTTGTGAAACAGAGTGGTCATGAGAATTAGGGACATGATCACACAAAATGTATTTACTTAATACCTCATTAACCTCATTACCTTCACACCACTACTTCTATAGTCAATGAATAGGGGTGACAAAGGAGAATTTTAATTTTGATCTTAGGGTTTAAAGGGTTAAAGGATAATGATCATTGCTATCCTGATACTGGAGAGAGGGGTGCTTTCAGGATGGAGGGACCTTATTTGAGCTTTCTGACTAAGTGCCTCATGGAATACCTACAAGTGACAATGATGGTGACAGCTGTGGAAACATTACTTATAAAGTGAATTCATGTTCTTTTAAACTTCATTGTGGTGCTTCCAACTTGCTAAGTTTGTTAAACAAGGGCAAATTCTCCTAAGGAGTGTACTCAAGTTGGTAAAAAAGAAGAATTTTTTGTGATGTGACTGTATGTTTACATCCTCCATAAAATGCTGCATTAGTAAAATTTTGCATTGTTATGCAGTGTCAGCAAAGAAATGTGCCAAACAGTGTGAGGCATATACTGAGTTGTTCTTTTGCTTAATAAACCTATTGCTTTTTTGATGTTCTCATTATTGTGGCTACTTAAGCTCCTTAATGAATACGTTTCAGAGGGAGAAGGCGTGAAAATGATAATGATAAATGATAATAGCATTTTTTAACTAGGATAAAACCCATCAGCAAAAGCTGCTATAAGTGGGTGCCACTTATAGCAAATAATAATAATAATGATAATAATAATAATAATAATAAATAAGTAAAAGAAGTCATGGAGAAAATAAAATCTATGTGATATGTAGCAGATAAAAAGGTATGACTGGCAGAAATTATTAAATGTAAGGGTAATTTAAGGTTGCTTGACTGGATTTTTCATGGGCACAACCTTCCAAGTTTGAGCATTAACTACGTTGCCATTAACAAAGACTTGGAAAAAATACCACCACTGCTGTATTAGATGAGGATGAAAATTTGTTATGATAGTGTTTCATTTACAATGGGATTGTCATAGCAGCAAAATGACGTCATTATCTATTTTACTTGCAGCCGTATTTCTTGGAACCGGAAGGTTTTTTCCAAAATTGTTCATGGGGGCTTGTTCCTCCAGTAGCTGCCTCAATGTCTGTGAAGTTTGAGGAAGTGACCTTCTGACCTTCTTGCCCCCAAGAGATACCTAGCTGGCATTCTCTTAAAGGGCAATAAATTTTTTCTGCTTCCTTAGCTTCTTTCTGTGGTACTTTATAGCTTTCAGCTAAGTGGATGCAAAGTATTTTTTTGGTTGGTTGTTTGTTGGTGTTGAAAACAAACTAGTGAAAGGCTTATCTATTGGAATAAACCTTTTCTCTAGTGACTTCACTGTGCTCTATAAGTTTGCCTCTTTCTTGTGTCATGCATCTACAAGAAAATGGGTCATAAAAAGTCCCAATTATCTAACATATACCGAAGCCAAATTCTAATGTGTCAAAACATTTGCAAGGAAATGTTTGTGCTATGATTGTGACTGGTCAGCCAAATTCATTATACCACTGTAAAGTAAATTATTTAATATACATTTTTCATGTTCCTTATGCCACATACATGATTTATCAAAGTTTACTGGTAATGCACAGGGCCAGTTCCTGAAGTAGGTCAGTGCAAGTGCAAATCATGGAGCATTTTATAGTGGAGCTCTCGCGTGCGCGAAGCGTGTGCAGCAAAGCACCATGGGTAAGAAAATGTGGTAATCTACCCATCTGAGAAACTTTTGTAATCACATGACATTACGTTGACCCATCCGTCTGCACCACAGGCATACCAATGTAAAATAACTCAATCAACAGGTATGGCAACCAAAATGCAACTCAAGGTTCTGTTTGGAAGGAAATCGCATGGCTGCCCAGACTTTTAGAGAGGAAAAACAACAACAAAGTCGTGTCTTTTTCGATGTTATTTTTTATGTTTACACTCACATGGATAACAGAGAAAGAAAGAACTAGAGTGAGTGATTGAAAGCAAAGGAGATGAATTTCATCAGGAGAAAAACCTGAAAATTTCGTAGTGGCGCTGAGAAAATGAGAAATGCTAGCAGCCTGCAAGGTGAAAATGAGTGGCAGTGAAAAAATAAATCTATATATTAAATAAAGAAATAGTAATCAAATAATAGTAATGTGATTTCTTGTCATCTTTTAATTGTTGATATTAGTTTTCTTTTTAACAGCCTGATCAAGATCAGCAGAAGGTATAGAAGCGTATTAAGAGCTTGCATTCTGGACCTGGAAGAAAAGGCTGGTACGTTGTGTTAGATTGCTTTGATGTTATCTTTATTTTTTTTTGTTACTTTCTCTGATCTCTATGTTCGCATTCTCTGATCTCCATGTTTGCTGTGTGCACTATGCTACTTATATACAAATATACAAAGAACTTTAGTGAAAACATGGAACTACACATGTTGTAACTTAGACATTACATGCAATAAATTATCTTCCGTAAATTGTAAGTAGATGTGCCTGGACCTCTTCTCAGAAAAGGCCCCCTGTGGTTTGATTAGTCTTGTACTTGACCACCTCGTGTAAGCAACCACTATATCTTTGCATTTTGGGTGGTCACTTATGGGAGGTTCCACTGTACTAAGCTTCTATTTTTTTTTTACCCTTGTTAATTACCCTGTTTAACAAACATAAACACAATGTATTGAATTTTTTTTACCCACTTGCAGTGGACTCTAGACTCTCATTGAGCAGTCCTCAGTCAAGTATTGCACAGGTGGGTATTGTAGAGGGAAATTGAAGAAATCTAGTGTTATGACTGTAATTTATCTTTTTAAAGTACATGTGTATTATATTTTGTTATCAAGAGAAAGAGAGTATACATTCCCAATGCGTTGGGAGTCAGGGTCCACCATTACCATCCAACTATGCAACTAGTTGCTAGCCTGCGAGCAAGCTCTCCAGGGCGCTCTGGCAGTGGGGCAGGAAAAGGAAGGAGAGCTTGCAACTAAGTCTCTGGCATTTGAATATCTGCATCAAAAAAGTCGATGCAAAATGCTGATTGGCAGAGATGACATTAGAAATGATGTCATTACCCATGGCATGTGTTTTTCAATGTTTGTTTACATTTGTGCTCATTTCCACTTCGCGCTGACTGGCAGAAATCTGACAGCTCAGTAGATGGGAGCCACAGGGGAATTGGATGTGGAATTCAAATTCCAGAGATGTAGTTGCAAGCTCTCCTTCCTTTTCCTGCCCTGCTACCTGAACGCCCGGGAGAGCTTGTCCACAGGTTAGCAACTAGTTGACCCCATTACCTGGCAAAGAGCAGTAATGTGGATCATTAGGGGCATTTATGGATTACTGATCGTGAAACATCTGTGGCTGTTATTCACTTGTATTTCCCTGCCCAGTTGGATGCACGTCTAATTTGTTTTAACCACTAGTCTAGATGTCTAGCTGCTTTTCTATTTCATAATTTGCAGAAGCATCTGTTGACACTTATTGAAACTGTCTGGCACCTGTGTGAAATACTATTCATTGAAACTTTGCCAGGTAAGACATGTGATACAGTGCTAACTCCATGATGGTTACACAGGCCTGTAAAGTGCTTCAAAATCACAACCATCACACTGAACAATTTATCTTTATTTCTTGGAACAGGTGGGGCTGTTCTACATCATCTGCTAGAATGGGTCCAAAATGGACATGCTGACAAGTATGTCAAAGATGTGCTACAGCATTCACAGCCACATGATAGCCCTTCATACTGGCCTGCCGTAAGTGTTCTGTCCGCCTTGCCATGGTAGTTCAAAAGTTGAATATTGTTGTCCACTGTGTGAATCACTGTCCAGTGAATAAGTATAAGGAAAACTAGTACAATATATTATCTACTGGATAGAGATTTGTTCAGTCATTAACACTACCCACCTTTGAGCAACTGGGGCGGCCTGGTCATATTTTTAATATGTAGTGTACACGTATTTCTCTCCTCCTACAACACTTTTTGTGGTCACTGTTTATTGGGGAGGAGCATTGCATGACAAGACAAAAATAGGGAATGTAAGCAAAGGCATTTTTGAGCAATGCACTTCAACCGGAAGTGGACTTTTTGCATTCTCAAGCAGTGGTTTTGCCCAAACTTTGAGTTAAATCGTCTCTACAAGTGCAAAGAAACTAAGCAATACAGACTGCATAGCGTCAAGGCATATTAAAATGGAAAAGTCTTCACCTCCGGTTGACATGCGTCTCTTAAAAGGTCTTTGCTTAAGCTCCCTAATGGCTGCAAGGGACACCACTTGTACAGGAGCTTATAGCCATTACAGTGTCATTAAGTTGTTAGAAAGTTTGGAACATCAGTTCACAGTAAGTCTGTCATGTGAATAACAACAGAATCTTCACCTTAACAATATTGGTAAACCTGCTTTACAAAGGTGCTTTGACAAATTCACTTGGTTCTCAAGAGGTGACAACCCTTTTTAATTCTTTCTGTTTTTTGAGATTGTTTTTTACATCACTAAGCCATGCACTTCTTCATTCTGTAAAACCTACCAAGATGTATGTAAACTGAGACAAAAAAACCTGATTATCATTATCCAGTTTGTTTTTTCATTCCTACAGATCTACTCTTTGGTTCTTCAAGGGCGGATAAATGATGTGCGTGAACTTCTTGCCCAGCATCCAGAAAAACAGCCAGGAAAATATGATGTGAGAATTTCTTTGGGTTTTTATTATGTTGACTTTCAACTCCATTGAGCAGGGCTGTCACTAAAAAGGACCAGGGGCCAGGGGCCAGGGATTTCCCCTAGCTACAATATGCATGACCCCTGGCTTCATTCTAAGGAAACTAGAGAAAAGTAAAGTTGAACCTCTATTAAGCGGCCACCTTCGAGGTACCAGCTAATGGTGGCTTAATAGAGGTTGACCGCTCAATAGAGGTTCATCAGTAATTAGCATAATCTTTGGCAGAAACATCACTTTATTTTGAACAAACGCGCGATGGAAGAAGCACTTCTGATCCACAGTTGGTCGTTAGCTTCTTTCTCAGACTGTATTTTTCTCATCACATTCTTGAAATGAAGCCAATTTAAGTGTATCAAGCGCTTGATGGCCGCTTAATAGATGTGACAACAACTGGAGAACTCTCATTGGAACGGACAAAAAGGGGCCGCGGCCACTCAGTAGAGGTTTAATTTCCCATTTTTTTCTACAGTTATTTCGGGACTTTGATTACTGGTTGCTTAAAAGAGGGTGACCGCTTAATAGAGCTTCAACTGTAGAACCGAAAGAACCTCCTAGCTGTTTAATTACCTGCCTACTTATTGCATTATACCCAGCAAATTGAAATCTTAGTGACAACTGTACTTGGAGTGCTCTAAATTTAAGTTAAGATTAATTAAAAGCTTTTTCTCAATATTGCAGGAGTTTGAAAGCATGGATGAACTTCTTCGAAAAATGCCAATGTACCAGGTTGGTTCAATAGGAAATGATGTAAAATATTTGCACTTAAGGAAGATTTAAGCAGAATGTGTCTACAGTTCTTGAAAAGTGCGAGTAATAACTAAAAGCTTGTTGCTAAAGAACAGGTCATCTAATGAAGGTGCTCTTAAATCACCTATGACCCTCGGCATCACAAGAAGACCTGACGATTATATGGAAACTAGGCAGTGAAGAAACATGCATTTCCTTGTTATGGTGAATTTGCTGCAAATTGTAATTTGTTGTTTGTTTACCCACGGAGCACTTAGGAGTTCATAAGAACTCGTTGAAACGTGTCCACGAATTCCAGATCAAATTGTTGGAAATGTTGGTTTTTAAGGAGAGTGGAAAACCAGAGTGCCCGGAGAGAAACCTCTCGGAGCAACGCAGACAACCAACAACAAATTCAACCCACATATGGTGTCGACGCCGGGATTTGAACCCGGGTCACATTGGTGGGAGCGAGTGTTCTCACCACTGCACCACCCCTGCTCCCCGAATTAGACTACGAGCAGTCTCCATTTTTGCTCAGGGATAGTAGAGTGAGCGAAACGCGAGTGTGCATGAAAATCACCCAATGCGAGAAAGGTGAGATGCAGCGCCTGTCTCGCGTGGGTTGACTTTCACGGGCGCTTGCGTTTCGCTTGCTCTGCTATCCCTGAGCAAAAATAAGGACTAATCGTAGTCTACCCCGAATAAGAATAATCAAGAACAAGAATAATCATTACAGCAAAAACTGCATTCAGTCACTTAACATTCTGGTAAAATCTTTATCTCTTAAATTTACAGTTATACATGGGCCAGACCTTACAAGAATTCAGTATGAAGTGGAGCCATTGGCAACGGGAGTGCAGGCATCGCTTGGACAGTGAAACTTACGCAACAAATCCCCATTTACACGCCCTTTGTCAGGTGAAGAAAAAAATGATTTCAAGACTGTTGTTTGCAAATTCAAATTGTTGATGCTTATTTTAGTACTGCCTATATTGATCATGTGTGAAATATTTTGTACATTTTGCTATTTTATTAATTATGTTTCCGGAGAATGCAAGTTACACTGACCCTGGAAATCCTCCCTTGTTTTGTCCAGATACTTTGTGGCGAGGAAGAAGTATTTGATGAAATGATGTAAGTTGCCATGACTAATTTTCAATCAATTGAGACAAAAAATAATCACTTATTATTAGCTGCTAATGTAACAGTTAGTTGCAGTTTTACTAATTAATCCTTCCTAATGAATGAAATGAATGATAGACTGTATTATTTGATTAATGACGACTGTGAGTGTGGACTCTTCCGGTAGGGTTTCAATCACGTGCTACAAGTCTGAATCAGCTAAACTAAATAAGCCCCCCCTCTCTATTACCCTGCCCCCTCAAACATGCTTGGCATAAATACCCCCCCGCAGGGGCTTTATAGGGGATTTTCAGTGTTACTTACGGATTTCTTTGACATGGTCTTGCAGTTAATTAGCAGTCTTGCAATAAATTATCAGTACTTATTTTTTTCTCTTTACAGCAAGTATTGTAAGACATGGTACCAGCTACTCGTGGCTAAATTACTGTACTGTAATCCTGCTGTCAAATCGTTTGACTTACAGTATCATACACAGGTATGCAACTGGTATTGGTTAAATGACTGAGAGGGTGTGTCTGTTCTAGGAATTACTAAGTGAATGAATGAACGAACGAACGAAAAAGCGAATAAATGAATGAAAGAACGAACGAACGAACTAACGAATGAACTGAATAAACAAACGAATGAGTAAGGTAATGGATAAATGAATGAGCCACAAATAAGCAGAGGAAAATGTGCATGTAGGGCAAGCTGTAGCTAGCATGTACCAGCTCAAGAGTCATTTTAACTTCAGCCCGAAAAAAAAGTTTTGATAACCAGGAGCTTGCAACTACGTCTCTGCAATTTGAACTCCAACTCCATTTCCCCTGTGGCTCCCCGTCGACTGAGCTGTCAGATTTCCGCCAATCAGCGCGAAGCGGAAAAGAGCGTGAATGTTAACAAACATAGAAAAACACGTGACAGGGATAATGACGTCATTACTATCCACTTTTTCGATGCAGATGTTCAAACTCCATAGACGTCGTTGCAAGCTCTCCTTCCTTTTCCCGCCCCGCCGCCAGAGCACCCCGGAGAGCATGCTCGCAGGTTAGCGTGAACTGACTGGTCTGGTCCTATTTTATTACTTTTTCAGGCTTGCATTAGTCAATTTGGAGGAAGTTCGAACGTGCACAGTTTTGACAGAATTCTGTTGTCAGCATTTGAATTTGATGTTCATGCCGTTATTAAGGAAAGCAGGTACACTATTTCTCTACTTATTAGGGCTATTTATGCGAGGAAAAATAAGTTGCGTCTTAAATAAGACGCGACCAAGCTAAGACGCGTCTTATTTTAGAACAGTCCTTAACACCTGTTCTTAGATAAGACGCGTCTTAGCTAAGACGAGAAAACCTTCGTTTAAATGACCTTCGTGTCTTACATAAGACGCGAACGCATAGTACGCATGCGTTAATTTTTGGCGGGAAAATTATCGCTTACCCCGCGGTGGACTGGCAGGCCACTTGTGGGGAAAAAATGTTTACAAATTACAACGCGTTTTCGTCTCCTTGTCTATTCTGCTTTATTTTTTTCTTCGCTCAAATACAATGAGCACGCCGTTAAAGCCAAAAGGTAAAAAGAAACACTTGGTCCATCGCGGAGGAAAAATATTTTTTGTTAATCTGTAAGGAGAAGGCGATAACAGACCTCCTGCACAAATGCGTGACATCTGCTGGTGTAAGTAGATCCTTTTAACTTTAAACTATCACAATTTATATTTGCTAATCAAATTGCTATCTCCGTATTATAAACTTACACTTTAAAAGTAAGTTTAAGTATACAGAAAACTTAGATAAGACATGCCCGTATAAATGGTCCAGTTCGCGTCTTATTTAAGACGCGCCTTATTTTCCTCGTATAAATGGCCCTATTGTTTCTTGTGCTACCTAAATAGGATTGCCCTAGGACAAAGCACTTATTCCAAAGCCAAATCAACTTTAAAACTGCGAGCAGTCTCTTACTTTTCTTTAAAGTTTTTGGGTTAGCATCAAACAGGCGAGGGGCGAGCTGGGAAGCTGCTACCCAGGGGTGTTTCACACTTCCAGTCACACAAATGTCCATTTTCGAATCTCACATGTTTTGCTAATGGACGAAGAAAGAAAGGGGGGGGGGGGGCTGCTCTAATCTATTCTGTTATTCGGCTGTTTCAGTGGTCTAACACATTAGTTGCAAGCAAAGGTCAATTATTATTTCTGAGTTGCCTTCCATTCCAAAATGTCTTTTAGCTTTTCATCTAGCAATATAAAAACCCCGTTATTATCATCCTTTAACATGAGACTCTGTTTTGTTGATATATAGTGACGCACTTGGTAACTGGTGGTTTGTTGCCCATCTGACTGACTTGCTTCATCATTGTGGACAGCTAGACTCACACCACATGAGGTAAAAAGACTTAAGTCATACAGTTATTGCTATTGAGTCTGTATTGTTACTGTATGACCCGCAATCTAGTGAGCAATATTTTGCTGTAAATATGCTTTTTATTTTGCTGCAAAAAGTGCCTTTAAACTCTCAAGTCAGTGTCTGAAGTCCTAAATCATGCTTAAAAGTTATCCGGAACTGATTTTGCCCTGCATTTGGATGTTTGCTGACGAAGGTCTATGACCAATTACATAAAAGCTACTGACTAGGACCTTCCTATGTCTCGGTTACTGTACGATATGGTTATGACATTCTGACATTTGAATCCGTGAGCGAAATTGAAGAGTGTGACTATTCAAATGAACCCACTAAGCAGTACTTTTCTGTGGTGCTGTTTATTATGCTGCACGAATTGACGATGGGCAAGAAAATAAAAACACAGCAAGAAAAGAAATACACAAATGAACAGTCTCAAAAGTTACAGGCTTAGCGGCGCATGCAATAGTAGCAGAAGAGTTTACAGCCTGCCTAGCAAGCGCTAGTTTCGCGCTCTCTTTAAAAACTAACCAAAAAAACTAACCGGCGCCACGCAAGGCTAAAGAGTTAACAGAATTATTATTCTTTTTTTCAGTCATAGCAGTACATGTAGCTTGAGAGAATTTCTGTTATTGGAATACGCTGCAAGTCTTATGTCAAATCACAGGTGAGAGTTGCTCCTAATGGCAGTAGCTGACGTGACACTCACTTTCCTTCGCTCGTAATATTTAATGGCCGTATGTAAGCTTCTTTGCCACGAAAGTCAACAACGATTACCTTACAAATTTCTACTGGATAAATGCTCACTCGTAAATATTTGGTTGAGGATATTCTTTTGACCCTCAAAATTCCAAATGTGGCACCCACTTTCTTTCTCCATAATATCCAATGTATGCATAGCTTTTTTACTGCGAAATTCGTCAACAACTTTTACCATACCAGCCTCTGCTAGAGAATTGCTTGCCTGTAAATTAGTAAAAATTCCAGTTTTGCGAATTTGTGAGTTTGCGTGTGCATTTTTCGAGCCCTGTAGAAAGCCTCTTGGTTTTCTTCACTAGCATTTGTTCGAACTCTAAAAGTTGCTAAATCCTGCTATACTTATTTCACAGTCTCTGGCGTGTTGCTGTCGACTATCTCCTTCAGTGTCCAGTTTATGGAAGGTACGCTTGTTGAAGAACAGTATTTTCTCTTTAAAACGTAGTTAAAGCATTCCGGGTTAGTTTCTAGAGAAACTGTGGTATTGTGAAGTGAGTTAGTGCAAGACTAAGACAAAAATCTCAATGGACTCTTAATGAATTGGATTCGGCTCCTTGTAGGGATTCGTTGCTGACGTTTCGAGCGTTAGAGAGTAGCGGAAGTGAGGCCTTTACCCTGTCAATATGCCTTGACGGTACTACATTTACCATTTACCATTACTAATTACTACTTTTCAGTGGGGCCCTCATAAGGAACGCTTGTTGAAGAGCAGTATTTTACAGCTTTTATTAATTTTTCACACGTACATAGTGAATACAAAACACAAATGTTAACAAATTAAAAACAGTACAAAACACAAAGTATCCAAAAAAATTTCGATGTACGCTATTTAGATTACAACCACAAAAAGAGGAAAAGATGAAATGGCCTATTGACTCTTGGAGTTGAAGGGTAACAGATGTTCTGTACAAAATTATTAACAATTATTGGACGAGGTTGAGCAAAATATCATGGCGATAACCGAGTTCGACAATTGTTTCATCATTCGATCACCAAGTTTGTTTTTCAATGGATTGGAAGCGATCTGCCATTTTCACGCAAGAGCGATCGCATGAAGGAGAATTGCGTGGTTTCATTTGCGCGTGAGCAGAATATTATTTGCAGCCAAACACAGTTGGACGTCATTGCGCATGAGCAGACCATTATTTGTAGGCAGTTATTTGCAGATCACGTGGCAGGCTCTCGGCTAATAAAAAGGAAGAAAAAATTGCATTGAATGATAACTTCAGTTACTGAATTTGAGAATTTTCTTCCTCAGAGCACACCTCGAAGAATACATAGAACACCTCCCCCTAGAGACAGATAAGAAGGCAATGAAGGTTCTGCGGCTTTGCGAGGACTTAGAAATGCTGGCACAAGGTAGAGAAATGGAATACTATCAACTCTCTCTGAACAGAAATTGTTCCGTGCTTTTAAAATTTTTTTCCTCTCTCTTTTCGCCATTTTCATATCTCTCATACTACGCTTTGTTTTCCCCCACTGAAAATGTTGCTTGAGCATTGTCTCCAATTTCTCTTGATACGATTGTGAAATTTTGGAGCGCAAACTAGGTGTATTAAGGGAGATGGTCGAATAGAGATTGGCCATTTTGAGCCAGGGCGATTTTCCTTATGACCTTGAAATGAAAACGCGCGAACAAGACAGGAACAACAAACGAACGGAAATAGAGCGATTTGATTGGTTATCGAACGGATACAAACGCGCGTGGCTTTTGGTTGGTGAAGCGAACGCTCAAGAAATCGATACTTCCTTTGGACGTCATACTGCAACGCGATTGGCCAATCGAACAATGCCTTCTCCATATCAGGGTTTTCTTTGGCGGGAAAACGAAGAGTCCATGTTTTGATCTTTTCATCCACTGTCTGATAAAACAAATAACGAACACTTCACAAAACCGTTTTTCAAGGTCATGCGAAAATCGTTGTGGGACTATTTTGGGGGACGACAATGTACAACCTTGTAATAGCCAATTTAAAAAGCGACGGCACTTGTATTTGGGGATGGAAATAACTCTAGCAATAAGAGCCACAAGACCAATGTTGTCTTAAATGTGATCACGATACATTACAAGGCCAATTACGGTTGTAATCAGAACGTATCCTTGGGGATAAAAATGATATTTTGAAAAACAGCAATAAGGCCAGTAAGACCAAGGTTAAAGCAGGGATTCATTTTATACTGCGGATAAAAGTAATTTAGAGTAATGTTTACTGCAAAATGGTGCCTGAGAACGTGTTAAAACAAAATGGCTTCAACAACAACGTGACTGCTCTGACTACAGTAGATTTAGAATCACATTTACTGCAGAATTGTGCCCTCGAACGTTTTAGAACAAGAAGGGTGGACACCAAAAACGTGACCGCCCCGACTACAGTAGATTTAGAATAACGTGTGGTGCAAAATTGTGCCTGAGAACGTGTTAAAACAAAATGGCCAGTCAGCAACAACGTGACCGCTCTTAATACAGTAGGTTTAGAATCACGTTTACTGCAAAATTGTGCCTGGGAACGTGTTAAAACAAAATGGCTTCGCCAACAGCGTGACCGCTCCGACTACAGTAGATTTAGAATCACGTTTACTGCAAAATTGTCCCCACAAGAGTGGCGGTCAGCGGTCAGCAACAACGTGACCACTCTGAACCACACGACCTATGTTGTCTAAATGTGATCACGTAATATTCTGGGAGGAGAGTAAAAGATACATTTTGTGAAAGTCCCTACATACTGAGAACGACAAGGCCAATTACGGTTGTAGTCAGAACGTATCCTTGGGGATAAAAAAATATTTTGAAAAATAGCAATAAAGCCAGCAAGACCAAGGTTAAAGTAGGGACTCATTTTATACTGGGGATAAAAACGCGGTGAAAAGCACCAATGAGAACATCAAAACCAATCAAAGTTGAAGTAACAAATATTCAAAAACCGACAAGATCAAAGCGGCATTTACAATGAAGTTTTTTGGGGGAACAGTGAAAAACAAGGAGAACAAACAGACCGACTCATTAACAGTGATGACGACTTAATCTTAGGGATAATTTGTAAAAAGAATAGTGAAAACAAGCAAGACTGTTCCGTAATTATGTACAAGTATGGTAATGGAATTAGTGAAACGAAAAATAGTGAAAAAAGCACCGATAAAACCTGCAAAATGGTAGTGAAAATGAATTGGCCGTTGAAAAACATCAGCGAAGACACCATTGATCAAACATCACTGAGGATACAAACAGTAAAATAATGTTACAGCAATGTTGGAAAATAAGCTAATTTAATTAGGGGAAATGAGGGTGCAAA